ATGTGTTCACTCTTCGCCAGATACTTGAACATCGCCAGACGTATTGCAGGTCAACATTCTCCATCTTCGATTCATTATAAAGGGCTGTACTCTGGAATTGTATGTTAGAGGGGCGTGCCTGAGAAATTTATAAATATCTTGAAAGCCCTATGTAATAACACCTCAGGTACCTCAGGGCATACAACCTGTCAGAAACGAAACCGGTGGCGGTCATATCGTAGCTTCCTCCCATCTTCTACTGCTGAAAAGTAATGAGTGTTTTGTTTTGAATGTATCCTATTAGACTGCCTTTTCCATCATCCTGTTTTTATTGTTTTTCTAATTTTTATCCACTTCCCTTCTCTTTGTCTTCAAAATAGTGTTACATTATTTTGTGTGACGCATTTTTTTGGTGGTCTTTCTGTACCATGTTCGTCCTCAAATATATAATCATTATCATTACTATCATAATAATATAAAAAAAAGTGTTTTTTAAATCCCGATGGAGCAGAAGAATAAATTTCTGACGTCCCGATAACTTATAAGAATTCCGACCTTAAGCGTACTGCTGAGTCACATACAAGGACGACACAGCTGTCCAGTGTTCCCAAGTTTTCAGTGGTTCTCTAACTGATGTCAGTCCAGTCCATGATGAACGCTACCTTAATGATGATAGCCTTACTAGTAATCATAATCATAAAACTGTAACACCAACATTGCTGACATGGTGGCTCCCCTAGGCGTTAGCAATGCTACGAAGAAACCTGTTGTCAACAACCTTTATATCTACTTTCAACGGCAGTCTTAGCTGGTAGAATAGGAGACAGAGAACTACAGTGCAGTATACTCGTATTTAACAGGTGTTCGGATATCTCACCAGCACCACAGGTCATGCAAATTGTCAAATGCCGAACGTGCCTTCTGTATCCAAGCTGGGATTTCGTCAGGAGCCAGTCCGTTTAGGCTAATGCAACTCCCCAGGAAAGTGAAGTGGTCGACTCATTCCACTACTTCACTCATCTTTAATTTTGGAGTAGCTGCAGACCAGCAAAGGAGCATGACCTTACATTTCACAGTTGCGAAATGCATGCTAAGTAATAATTTTTGACAGAGAAGTGTAACACGCTCCACTCTCTTCGATTCGAAACGTAAGGTATCACTCATACCTTACATTTACAAGTCTAAACACACTCACCTCCTGCCTCCACCTATACTGCAAAATAACATAGATATTCTATCCAGTTTCAGGTTAGCAGTGTACAAACTCTTTTGTGATTCCGTTCCATCTAAACCAAATCAATGATGAGCTGGTATACCTGCAGTTAATAAGTGCACCACGTTGACAGACTGGTCTCTTAAAAAATAAATATTTTTGGATTCGCTTCAGACAAACTTTAGGTTATGTTTGAAGGTGACACCAAGTTTCTGCAAATGTTCCATAGATCTTGAATAGGTAGGTAAACCCAAGAGAATTGGAGCTGCAGGAAACACCTCTGCCACTCATTAAAAACATCCTAGGTGATTTTCATTGCCACTTAGTCACAACACAACTCAACATATCCTGAAACTATCTTATCAAGCAACCCGAAAGTTACAAGGTAGGAAACGGACAGTTTGTAACTTTATTATCATCATACCAGTTTTACTAAATTGGTTGTTAGTAGAGAAAAATCTTAAGCTGTATCTGATAACAGAAAAACCAACGTTTAAAAAATCCCGGCTTCTGTACTGTACGCTTCTATCTAACAAATTTGCTCATGATAGAGAAACAAAAGGTGGTTACTGCCATAAAACGTAGTGTTCAGTAACTTTAGCAGGATATTTGCTAAGGCATCTTATAAGAACTCGTGTCAGGTCCGGCTTCGGTGACACACTGCAAAGTTATAGGAATAAATGCACGCTGGTTTGATAAACTGCAAGTCAAACAAGTGTAAATTAATAACTAGTACAGCCACTTGGGGTATTATTCACAGATAAATCATTTCAACGTCAACAGATTTCCTAAAATATGTCCATAACCGATGCTAGCACTTGTCGAATTTCGGAAAGTCACCTACAGTTGCAAGCATGGAAACAGGAAATTCATACAGTTCTGATGGCCTCGACAACCTTCGTCAACACTCGGACCGATCGATACTTGCTACCTTCATGCGGTGATCGGGCTTACATATCATGATGACCCAATGAGCTTGGGTGCTGGAACGCTTGTTCCCTCGACGTCCAACCATGCCAGGTCTGTTGGATAGTGGTAAGACGAAAGGCAGTTACCGTTGTAATGTAAATTACCATACTATGATCGGAGTCTGAGAGCGACGTCATACTGCTGCTGGCCAGATGGGGTATGACAGCAGTAAGGTCTTTCCCTTAGATGGTTAGAGCTGCCATGCTGATGCTGCTTTCCAAACGGAAGAGGGGAGCTTCGGAAAGGTTGGCCCTAAAAATAGCGCACTCCTCCCTGCCACACAAAACAACATCTCGCGAAAGGCCGTATATCACAGGCCTTAAGCAGATGTCTCATCAACTCCATGGTCACACAAATCTTTTATCTTTCAGATACCTTAAGAAGAAATAGCTTTCCACAGTGTGGGCAACTGCAAAGTGTCAACCACCCGTACGCTTCCAGTAGTACACAAGATCCAATCAAACACTACCTGTCCTCCTCAACTCTGTCTCCTCCTTTGCCTTCACCTCCTGGTACTAATATTAAGCCTCTTACGCCTTACCCAACCTGTCACTCAACAACCAATACTAACGATCAAAGCCATCGTAACATCACTCCTAGTCTCCTAAGTCCCCACAATCGATTTCATATACGAACTTTCGACATCCGAACTCTATACTAAGTCGAACAGCAAGCTGCGCTCACAAAAACTCTGGAATCTCTAGCCAAAGATGTGTGATGTGACTGTGAGACACGTAAACAGGACCCGAGTGTGATTGTTTAATTGACCTTACCTGTTCATAGTAGTGAATCTCTAAAATTCACCTTACCACTGAGTATCCAGATACTCAATGTCTGGCTCTCGTGGACTCGCTGGTATGGACATTGCATTGAGTTGTAGAGCAGAAAGTACGTTTCTCGACCGAATACCAGTCAACAGCCGTCTATATGCTGTTCGATTGATTGAATCTCTAAGGGTTAGGAAGGATCGTGAGACCAACCGATGTCTGTTCGTAATCTCCGCCTACGCACCCACCGACTGTAATTTGGATGATGCAAAGGATGAATCCCATGAGGACCTGTCAACTTTGCTACGAAAAGTGGAAAGTTTGGATGTAGTCACAATGGCAGGTGACTTTAACGCTCAAGTAGGGGGAGCTGAGCGAATGAGAAAGGCATCCTGAGGGCATTTACCGAATCCCATGCCGACGAACTGACAACGGTGATGGTTTGTTGCAATTTTGTTCCGACAATCACTTGTTTCTGGTCAGCAGTAACTTTAGGTATGATGAGAGACACTGTCTCACACGGTGTCCACCGACTTCAAAGCAATGATGGACGCAATAGATCATATCGCTGGTGGAGGATTAGCGTTTTTCCTGAAATACTAGTTTCGACTCAGTTGCCGCATTAGAACGGGCTCTGAGTATGTTTGGCAAACGTTTCACACCTGCCAAATGTAAGATGACGCTTCAGGACTAGTATGCAGTCTCTGCCAGTTTAATGATAGGGAATGAACAGGTGGGACGTGTCGGCCACTTCACTTCCTTGAGGAGTTACATCAGCTCGAACGAGCTGGTTGCTGCCGTAATCTCAGCTCGGATAAAGAAGGCCCACTCGCCACCTGTCAACCTGTGTCAGTTTTGGCGCCGTTTGGCGATATGTCTGACTGTTTATTAGAGGCGGAGTATACTGCGCTGAGGTCCGTTGTGTCCTGCTATACGACTGTGAGACATGGCCGGTGAAAGTAGAAGACATGAAGGGATCACATGGTTTCGATCACAGAGTTGTTCGTATGATTTTTGACGTTTGGGGAATCACTGTGTCTACTTAAGCGAAATGAGGCGATGAGTTATAGGTGAGGTATGGAAATCTATTGATGAGGTTTTGTAGGTTTTTTTGAGTGTTATGACTTTGACATGTAGTATGTATGTCGCGTCATCGTCTATGTAGATATGTGGCGCTGGCGGAATTTTCGTAAGGCTGTTGGACAGTTGAGTGTGGCGAAATTGTATCGTAGTACCAGCCGATGCAGTGCCGTGATGTTGTTCCTGGTGAAGCAGTCCGACGTATTCAGATGCTGAGTATTCACGAACAGACGATCGTGTAATTCTTTTGTTCAATGTATTATGAAATCATGTCAGTGGAGATAGGTTGTCATTTACCTTAACTGCGTTCGTTAGTTTATTGATCTTTCATGAACATGACCTACTTACGAACGACTAAAAGAAACACTGCAGTCTAATGCGTCAAAGAAAACTGCTACTATGTAGTGCAGCGGTCATCAATTTTTAATGTGTGACAATATATGACTTCTGGTACACGATTATGTAAGCAATTCATACAAGATTTGAACGAAATCATGCCATCGAGAATCTGATATTCACGCGTTCTGAGAAATATCTAAGTTTGAAATCGGTCACTACTTTGTACTTAACGTTGTCGGATTTATACCTTTACACCGCTTGTTGGCACTTTCTTGACCTTCGTTTCATTAGATGGGTCTACACTAGCAGTATAGCACAGAATGTACAGTCAAGACTGTAAGGCAAATAAGTCAACGGATGAATAGCTGTCAGTGTATGGGACTTCACAAAGCGTGCAATAGTTCTGGCTACCACGAAGATCGATGGCACGATAAGATTCAAGAAGAGGTAAAGTAGTGATGATTCGTATGGGAGATGCACAAAAAGTTGTATTACCTTTTTATTTCAAAGCAGACTAAAACGACCTGCAATATAATCTCCGTTGACTTGGTTTTTAGTTCGTATCTGACAAACTACTCAAGAAAATAGAAAATTTGTTAGTCATTGTTTTAATTGTGTTACCGAACTTAGTATTCATTGCTTTGTTTTTCTAGCGTAACCAACCTTTTGATGGACTCGTAGAGAGCTTCCCGGATGCTGTCAGCCTCTTTGGACCTGAAATTTTCCACAGAGATGTATGTTTTGTGTTGTAAAATAACCGATTTTAAGGGTTACCTTGTAACAGCATATCCACTTACTGCATGTCAAGATATCGAACCACCACCATTTGTAAACACCAGCACAAGGGATTTCAACAAAAGTTCACCCTTATCGTTTTTTTCATATTTTGCATTAATTCAACGTGGAGAATGTGATTTCGATTCGAAGGTTTTGAACGCTCAACGCAGTGGTTATACAGGAGTCATAGTTTTCAACACAATCGATGATAAAATATTCCCAATGAATGGTCGAAAACGTTAGTTTGTCAAGTAAATTTCTTCATGGTTTCTTTTTCATAGATATCGACCAAATTATGATCCCGTCTGTTATGGTAGATAAAAAAGCTGGTTTAAAGTTGATGAATTATTCTGTCAATAATCGTTCACAGGAGTAAGTTATCTTCTTGAAGTGCTTAACCATATCCTGCCAAACAACCACTGGTTTTTGTAGTGTGATTGCTAAAATAAAAACCAGATTATTTTGATGTATATATAGATGCATAAATGTTCTGCTTTTTCTCATCCAGTTCACATGGAATTTTGTAGCTTAAGCGGTGACCTAAGAGTATACATAATAATGGAGTCAAAGATATTTAACTATTTTGAAGATGATAAGAACATATTCCAATATAATCCTAGCGTGTTTAGAAAATCAAAACAAGATATTTCTGAACGTTTCGCTGTGTAAGCCACAGCTTCTTCAGAAGAATATACGGAGTTTTATTGAAATCAAAATATATAGTCAAATGATACATCAAATATATTTAGTGAACTTAGGTCATTGGTTAGGTGATTTTTCTGTCCAACCTGAATAATTAAGATTAGTCATTACAAGTCCATGCTTGTCATCGTCATTTGTCATATCTAAGGAGCGACTGAAGGTAAATTTAATATAAAAATATACAGAAAACTAACACGTTCTGATAAATATTTATACTTCCAATAGGATAATGCAACTAACATAAAGGTTAGCGTCGCATTGAATCTACTAAACAGGGCGAAAGACAACATAACCGATCCTAATGATTTAGAAAATGAAATTTTCTGAATAAAGGATATTTCAATGGAAAATGGATACCCTGAAAAGTTTTTGAGCAACATTATCTGTCAAAGGAATAAAACAACAAGTACTACTAATAGTAATAAAGGTACAGCAAAGTCAAGGGGGTCATCTATGACGATACCATATCGGAAAGGTTCTTCTGAATAGATTAAAAGAGTGTACGCTTCACATGGTAGTAAAGTTTGTTTTAAACCCTCAAATTCACTAGAAAAGATCTTAGTCAAAGTGAAGGATACAATTCCTAAGCTAACGCGTAACAACTGTGTCTACAAAATTAAATGTTTAGAGTGTGAAGCTAATTATGCTGGAGAAAGTTGTAAACCTTTAAAAGTTCGATAGTCACGCTACATCCAAAATTTACGTTAATAGGCAAATGTAAATCATTGGATTGCAACTCAGTTGCTGAATGATAGCGTATTCACCACGAGACTTGACGGTTCCACGTATTTTAGTTAGTTTTGGTTTCACGTAACCTTGACTCCACTGTAAAATAAATGTTGTTGATAAAATTCTGAGTTATATTTTGTTTCTTAGTACAGATGTTGTATATTCAGTTTTCTTTTCAATGCAATGACAGTTGCGATTGAATAAGTCATTTTTATTCGTAAAATTTAATTCACGGCGGCCTGCTTGAACCTTGGGCTACCAAATTTATCCGTCGAACATTTTTCATCAAATTCTTTCTTTTCAATATATTTTAATCATTTAAATATATCCTTTGAATGTGTCATGTACTCTCGCACATTTTTGAACTGTTTCCACACTCACCGTTTCTCGAGTCAGTAACAAAACAGAGAAAAAAAATGTTACGTTATATGGAAATGTATTTTTCGGCGCAAAAAAATACATCAAATTTTCTATCATTCAGATGGTTAGCTTGAGTCGCAGATATTTGTACTGTCTGAATAAACCACTACCACCAAAATGTCGCTTACATTTCTGTTGATTCTTCATTATGGACCGGATGCCCACTCAGAACCAGCTGGCTATTTCACATTATTGCCTTGATTACTGTTATTATTAATATCATGCAAATGCAGTAACCGTTTCATCTGAAAGTGATGTTCTGGGAGTGAATTTTTTGAAAAATTACATGATCAGAATTCCATATTGTTTAGAATCAAGCGATTATTATTATTACGATTATTATTATCATTACTTTCTTCCTCTTGTGTGATACTTGATCATTTTTCAATTTTTATGGAGTACACTTTGTGATCCTATAAACTATTGAAATCTAATTCATCTGAAGTATCCAGGTTTTAGATACTGTAGTGATCAAACAGACCAATTATGTATATTAACAGCACTCTCTCGTGATTATACTAATTAGAATTTATGCACTTATTTCCCTTGCTAAGCAAAAATAGTAAGTTTTGTGTAATCGAATGAGTTTTTTTTCTCATCAACTGCAAATAGCTCAAAATTACAAATGAATGACAGTAGACTATGACTAGTCAAATGGTATGTATTCACTTCTTCTCCCAGTTTTTTGTTAATTCTATTTATTCAGTGCGCGTATAAATAAATTATAACGTGATTTTTTTTTCTTCAAATCCCCATAGATTTATGATAAATATGGTCAGCTTTTATGGTTTGCCACTGAAATACATACTTCTCTCACTTCTGATTGTTGTTGGAGTTTCGTTGTTAATTCTTGTGATTTCATTTGTCGTCCACTTATGCCGCTTTTGGCGTCGAATTCATCGTGGTCGTCTTTCTCGACGACACTTGCGTCAGTTGGTCATTAAACGCTTTACAAAAGGTAAGCTGTTTGACTTTATAAATTTACGATATATTTATATATACGGTTAATTCCTACTGGTTTGAAGAAAAAGGAGTTAGTTGATTCGTTACTTCTCTTGTAGTTAGCCTATTGATGAAGATTTGGCCTTTTCTTCCTTTAATCATCGTGTCTGTCTTGAATTGTTTCTTCTCAAACTGATGTAGCTGAGGTTCTGTCAGTAGGCTAATCTTTATCACATACATTCGTTTATCTTCAAATGAACACTGAAATTTCCTTGACTTTTAATCATTGTTGTCTTTCTTAATAGAGCTTTTTTCCTCCTCCTGTTTGATCACTTCGCACTTAGTTTGCTTTTTAACTTTGTTTCTGAATCAGTCTGGTTTTTTCTGTTGGTTGAAATAAGATAATCTTTAATGGGTTCAGCTTGATCTGTTTTTCGAAGAAGTAAGGAGATTTCAGCGTGCATTATATCAAACGATGACTTTTGAACTTTTTTTCCCCACTTTTAACGTTCTGTACTGGTATTCGTTGCTTGAAAAAATAAACGATATGCAATTCAATAAGCACACGTACGTTGATGTAACAGGTAGTGAACCATACTTCTTACTGTATGGGGGCTAATGCTACTGCGATGGATCCTACTTAAGAGGACGTACATTAGTAGTGTATCTTGCAACAAGAAGTGTTAATGATCGCCTGGCAAAGTTTCTTGAGTGAAGAAAACATAATACCGAGTACAAATATAGATGCCAAATAACATTGCACATTGGGATTCTGGAAAAGAAAATATTCTGGTGTGAATTTATTGTCAGGTTTATGAATTCTGATTGCAACTTTTCAGTAGATAATCTGTACTACTCCAGTGGGGTTTTCGTCAGTACTACATAATATCTTAGGTCACTGTAGGTGTGGAGGGTTTCGAACCCACGGGTTAATAGTTAGTAGTCAAATGCGTAGACCAATGAGCTAACGCTAATCTCTTGCTTATTCTAATTACACGCTTATTTTAAATTTTCATGCATTTTTCAGGTAGCATTTTACAAAGTTATTAACGTTTTCTTATCAAAGCTGTTGGCATATTGTTTGACATGTAGTGAAATGGGCAAAATCCTGTAGATTAGGAGGATATCACAGTAGCGGAAATGAATGTAACTAACTAACTTTGAAGACAGGGGTAAGAGAAGGCTGCCTACTATCATCCATGATCTTCCTGATTGTGGTCGACTGGACTGGATCATGCAACAAACCGTGAAGAGTGAGAAGAGACGGGTGTACGCTGCCTGGACTGATGAGGAGACCCTAGAAGATTTGGTTTTCGCCGATGACTTATGTTTAATATCGCACAAACTCGAAGATCTGCAGGTGAAAACTAACAAGTTGACAGAAGAGGCAGGGCAGCGAAAACCGGACTTCAAGTGAATGTAGAGAAGACGTTGGTGATGAAGATACCCAACGAACGACAGCATCAACAACAAAAGGCACAAATCACCACTAACGGGAGACACCTAAAGGAAGTATTCTCTTTCACCTACCTAGGCAAGGCAGCGTCGTTTCAACTACAGGCGGCGGTTTAGACGAGGATGTCAAAACCAGGATCGGAAAAGCAAGACAGGCTTTCACTAATCTGAAATCAGTATGGAGATCTACTGCACTCAGCACAAAGCGTGAACAAGATCCGGATTTTCAACACCAGTGTCAAATCAGTGCCGCTATATGGTTTAGAAACTTGGCGTGTCACGAAAAGCATTTCCAACAAACTACAGACATTCATCAGCAGCTGCCGCCTACTCTGGCTCGATATTAAAGATCAGATGGCGAGAATAGAAAGAATAAGCGAGAAGGAACTGTGGCTGTCCGGCAACGAACCAACCAAGAACTTATCACCCAACAAATATGCAGGATAAGAAAGTGGAAATGGATTGGACATGCACTGAGAAGGTCGATTGGGGACACCGAGCACCAGGCTAGGCCGTCGAGTGGAATCCACAGGGGAAACGATGAGTTGGGCGTCTGAACCAAGGGTGACACGGAGGAGATCATGTGAGGAAGAAATGAAAGGTTATGGGCGGTCGTGGAGCCAGATTCAAAAGACTGCGGAGAACAGAGTGCAATGGAGGCATGCTACTGAAGTCCCATGTTCCACTAGCAACCCAAGGGAAAAATAATATAGTGTAAACTAACTTTATGAACCAGGTTATGAGCGGTACTTCTGATTGACATATTTTGGATGTAAGTATCTTAGAATCTTAATGAGCTGTTTGTTGACGTTTTCCGTTATTACTGAAATTTCTAGTCCATACAAAGACTTCATGAAAAAACCCCTTTCTAGTTATCATCGAAACAGTGTCTGTTGCATTTACTCACAGTCGTTTGATAGCTACTTCGCTGTGCGATATACGTGTTATCCTAGAAATTATTTGTCCATAGCTATTATTACCTTTATCTTTCAGGATACCCGTTTTTCGGGTACATAGGGAGTGAAGTGGTGGGATCTGTCGACCACTTCACTTACTTGGGGATTTGCATCAGCGAAAATGGGCTGCTTGCTGACAAAATCTCAGCTCGGATAGAGAAATCCCGTTTGGCATTTGCCAATTTGCGTCATCTGTGGCGCCGACTGGCGATGTATTGGACTATCTATCTAAAGAGGAGTATACTGCTCTGCAGTCCGTTGTGTTTTGTGATACGGCTGTGAAACTTGGCCGTTAAAAGTAGGAGACATGAAGGGATTACAAGGTTTTGATCAATGATGTTTTTGTAGGATTCCTCGCGTTTGTTGGAGTCGCCGTATGTACACTGTTGGAGGCAGGTGAAGGGTACTAGGCAAGATAGGGAAGTCTATCGATGAGGTTATGAACCTCAGCTGATCGACCGCCTACCCCGACTTGTTATGCCAGGGGAAGTTGGATTACATCAGAGTGACCAGACGAAGACGTAGCGTCAGTCGATGAAGTGTTTTGTTGTTGGCCTGAGCCTTTTTGGGAGATGTATACTGCCTGTTTGGGGTTGCTGAGACAAAAGGAATCAGTGGTTGAGGACTCTTGGTGATTTCGCTGAGAATCTATCACAGGGGTGCAGGTGCATTTACTCTTTGATATCTAAAGCTTGAATATTCACACTAAAGTTTGTCTTCATATTGTTTACTCTACACTCTCTCTACACTACTTTGTCTTTAATATCCCAACCGATAGCTACTACCTTGACGTGGTGGCCGGGCTTGCATATCACAATGACCCAACGAGCTATACTGGTTGAACACTTGTTCCCTCGAGGTCCTACCATACCAGAAAGGTCTGTTGGATAGTGGTTAGACGAAAAGCAGTTACCGTTGTGGTGTAAATTGCTACACTATGATGGAGGTCTGAGGGCGAAGTCATATTGCTGCTAGCTGGATGGGGTATGACAACAGTAAGGTGTTTCCCTTGTATGACCAGCAGCGCCATGCTGATGCTTTCTCCTCAGCGGAAAGGGGGGTTAGAAAAGATCGGCCTCAAAAATAAAACACTCCACCACGCCCCACGGTCTGCTGGGCCGACGGTGTTGGTTTATTTGTCGTTTCTTTTCGACCATCTGATCCCAAAATAACAAAGGCTCAAAACAACCATACTCAAAAGGGCTGCGTGTGACAGGCCTCAAGCAGACGGACGGGCTTTGTGGTCATACAAATCTTCTCTTTCAGGTACCTTAAGAAGAAATAGCCTTTCACGGTGTGAGCAGCCGGGAAGTGTCAACCGCCCCCACAACTCTGTCAGCACTCAAGTTTTTTCAGACCGCTATCCTCCTCCCTCATCATTACCTTCTAATCTTCCAATATCACTCCTTTTCTATCCACCTGTTCTTTGTGTACTGCTGTGAAGTGTGGGAACGTTAACCGGTGCACCTGTTTGTGAGATCATACGTTATTTTTATCTTCCAATCTGTCTGTGTACATACTCCATGCATTCTGTCAATTTCTACCATTGCACTTTAACGATATTTTTGAGTAATCTTTTTTGGTTACACCGTCTCATAATATGATGAACTGGATAGTATCATTAGTTCTCATGTAATGGGTCCAGGTCATAGCCTTTTACATAAACCTATACCTTCTTGACTCCGAGTATTATTGGCATATGTATATTGGCATTGATGATCTGGTATTCATCCCATGTTTCAACCACACTACAGATCTACTTCCGTTTGAACATCTTTTATCTGATGCATTATAATTCCTGTAGTTATTCTCTAAAAGCATTTTGGTACCTCAAAGTTGTTGTTTTCTACCAACAGGAACCGATTTGATGTTTTGATCCTGATTGATAACCACTATGACTCACTCATAATAAAATTAGCTGAAAAGCTTTCCGGCTGGCATGTAACAACGCATGAAATTCCAATTGTATCCTGAGACAACCAACTGAAAATACTTTTGGTCTCTAACAGGAGTTATACAACTGGCAACTTTGCTAACAAACTGTAAAATGTTTCCACAGAAAGACTGGCATTTGTGTGGTCATAAGCCTGTTGATGACAGCTGCTTCATTTCACGTTAAAGCCAGTAATCATCCTGTTCCAGGTTTATTATGGAGGTGGATCAAAAGTATTGAAAAATCTAATGTTTTAATGAACTGTTTCTGATGTCCTAATGTAACGTATTCCGAGGGGATATAATACGTACGCTTATCTGACAGCTAATTTAATAGGTAAGAGTCACCGACCGCAACACGAGACGAATAAAGAAGAAGACCGAAGCTGGATAGGAGAGTTTATACCTTCGAGACTAATAATCAATTAGAGGTAGTATTCATCATGGACTGACATCAGTTGGGGAACCATTGAAAATCTGGGAGCACTGGACAGCTGTTTCGTCCTAGTATGGGACTCCTCGGGAGTACACATCCACGACCCGACTAGGGATCGAACTCAGTTAACCAAAAAGCACCTATGTATACACATGAGAAATGACCTTGTCCATACAAATGAGACATTAACATAGTGAGATTAAGGATTAACCAGCGATTTAGTCAGCGAATTACATTGCAAATGGGGACAGAAAATGAACTACTAGTCATTCTGTAAAAAGTGGTGTGAAAACAAGTTTAAAAATGTTTAGGTTGATTAACAACGCTTTATACAAAACTCGAGTGATTTTAAAGGCCACCCTAGCAACTGCTAAGATAGCCAATTACTTTTTTTTATTTTATGAAAATCAGCCTTCCCAGTCGAAATGTTTATTTCGATCGTTGTTATGGCTGGCCTTTAAAGTTGGCCGAAAACTGATGCTTTCCAACATCTAATCGCACTTCTAATTCATATTCACACTAGATAGTAATCAATCACAACCGAGGAAGAATATAAAAGTAAAGGTAATTACAGCATTGAAGTTAGAGAAATGGATAACACAAGATATTAGTTGAAAAAGTTCTGTATTTTTGAATTAAATGGATAAACTAAAAGAAATTTTTGGTAACAAGAATTTATTTTCTCATAGAGACGAGCTGTAAGTATCAAATTTCCAAGCCTTTAAAAGTTGTTGATAACTCAGGTTTATTAAATTAGCTGTGACGTTAGTTATTACAATCAAGTTGCGTTTACTTGTGTGGATTGATGAAGCCACCCCAGTGAACATGACCATGATTAGATGTAGCATCGTAACTTGCATACTTCAAGCGCTTATGTAAAGTGAAACTTTGTTTTTATCCCCTACCATTTTATGCCAGTAAATAAATTTTAATGGGTAGTTTATATTCAAAAGTGGCTCATTTGAACTTTCCCAAAGACCTTTTGAACTAAACTGGACCGAATTCACGGTGCATCAGTTTATCGTTTTTCTCATAAAGAAATCCTATTCATCTCATGTTTACTAAAATGTTAACTCATACTGAGTGATCACATGTCTGCAATGTGATCAGTGAATCTTAATTGAAGTATCTTTCGTCACTTTCTGCCTGCTTATTTGAGATGACTTCACTAATGGAAGTACTCGGTTTTGTGTTTCGATCGAATACCGTTTAGCAATAGAGTTCATACTGTGCATTCCATCCCACTGGCCATGTATCAATTGACTATATCTCCGTTTCATTATCTCAGTATTCACAGTAAGTTGAGAACACAATATCGTAATCATCTCGTAACCTACTAGTGAATATATATGCATATACCAATCAATTTAGTCTTGTTATTTAGCGGTAGACAAATAAGAAAAATCATATTAACATATTTTGCAGGTTTCTTTGTTCAAAGTGAACGTTGACTGTTTGATATTTTGCATGTTTAAAATGAGGTAAACATTGTAATCATTATGTTAGGCATACATACATACCATCAAAAAGTACTCTTTGTTTTCAGTTACATTTTTTTCTACTATTGAATAACAAAGGTTTGGACTCGTATGACGTGTGTTCAATTTGTTTGGAGGATTATATTGATCGAGATAAACTGCGTCTTTTACCTTGTCAACATGGTAAGTGTGGAATAAATTATATATATTCGGTGTAATAAATTGTTTTAATACAATAACTGTAATATATGTATGAAACTTATGTTCCAATGTATTTTACAACTCATTTTGGAGGTTTGTAGGGATTTATTGATTTCATGTTGGTATCCATTACGGACTGACATTAGTTGGAGGAACATTGGAAATGTAGAAGCACTGGACAGCTGTTTCGTCCTAGTATGGGACTTTACGGTGCGCGCCCATGGCCCCACCGGGGATCCAACCCAGGACCTCCAGGTTTCCCGGCCAGGAAGTTAACAATGAACCAGTAGTACATATTTCCTACTTCTGTCAGTTCATGGTGTAGCGCGACCTTCATACAATGTTGTCGTTGAGTAACTGTACTCATGTTCGACTGGTGGTGTCAACCAAGTACAGTTATGGAGGTCACGCTATATCATGAAGTGACAGAAGTAGGAAATATGGACCATTGGATTCTGACCCAGTGGTTGAATGGTAACGTTTTGGCAGCGGGACCCGAAGGTCCTGAGTTCGATCCCTGGTGGGGGCCTGGGTTGAGCACTTCGGTTGCCTGGGGATTTGCATCAGCCACGGCGGGCTGGATGCTGACGAAATCTCAACTAAGATAAAGAAGGCCGGTATAGCATCTGCCAACTTGTGTCATCTGTGGCACCATCTGGCAGTATATTGGACTATTTATTAGACGAGGAGTATATTGAGCTGCTGTCCGTTGTGTCCTACGATACGGTAGTGAGACATGGCTGTTGAAAGTAGAAGACATAAGTGGATTACGTGGTTTCGATCACAGATTTCTTCATAGCATTTCTAGTGTTTGATAGAATCACCGTGTGAAGAATACTGGAGTCAGACGAAGAGTACTAGGGAAGATAGGCAAGTTGATTGATAAGGTTTGTGAAATTTAGCCGATCCATAGCTTACCTCGACGTGTTATGCCAGGGGAATTCGGATTAGGTTGGAAGAAGTTTTATAGTGGCGAGAAGAAGAGGTGGCACCAGTCGATAAATGTTAGTCTAAACCATGTACGGAGATATTGACTACTCGGCTGGGGTCCCCGAGCCGAAAGGAACGAGTAGTTGAAGAGATTTGGTGACAAGGTATAAAACCGATCGCACTGGCGCAGATGCATTCAGTCTTTGACATCTAAAGCTTGACTATTCGTACTAACGTTTATCTTCATATTGTTTATTCTCTCATAGTACGTTTTTTTCTTTGATGTCAGTCTTTTTGTATCCACCTGTTGTTTTTGTACTGCTGTGAAGTTTGGAAACTTGAGTCGATACACCTATGTATGTGGTTCTACGTTGATTTTGTCAGTCAGTCATTGGGATTACAGTGTTACTGGGTCCCCTTAGCTATGATATTTTGTCGTGTACGTTTTACCATCTAGCTAGGTGATATCATCAGGGTTAACTTCTCAGTGAGACGCAAGATGAATCCGGTAAATTAATGCACGGAGAAATGTCACAGAAAAGCAGCCCTACTATGCACAACTTTACCACTGGTAGCTGATTGTTTGAAACGTTTTCTACCTACAATTGTATCAGAAGATGACGAGGGTATAGAACGGTAATAATTTTCAGATACATCTGATATTCTGGCAATCAAATTTACTGTAGCCGCTCAGATGGATTTCTTGTCTACATAAAATATCTTCATATTGAGAATCCCATTGTATAGGAACACTTACGTGTACTGATGCCTGCTGATGAATCGCCCTCTGTGTGTGCCTGTGATACCTAACTTATCTGAACTGAGGATGTCTGGAAACTCTGTGTGTTTGTTCACTGTTATCTCTGTAGGATTGCTGGCCTCTGTAGGAAGCGTTAAAATAATGATTCTGAGTTGCGATTGTGCATGTTTGTGTCTGATGGAGATCATCATTTCATTGTGGAAAGTTATCTTGGATTTTTTTGTTTTCGATGTTATAGCTCAGAATGGTTAGCTGTCATCCTGAACCTAATGTTTAATTGATATCTAGTGTCATATTTTTAAGCGACGTACCTAAATCACTACTACAAATAAATCATGTAAACAACTATTAAAAAGTTTATTTTACAATAAATCAGCCTACTGTTATAGATTATTTTTAATAATTACTTTGAATCAACAGAAAGGAGGTTATTGTCTGAATTAAAGTTTGAATTACTATTGATTATAAGTATTAAGTATTATATATATATATATATATATATATATATATATATATATATATATATATATATATATATATGTCGATGATCGATCATCACATCTAATAATTACATAAACGTATGCATGTGATAAAATAGGTTGTTTTTTTAATATTTGGTTTTTGTTAAGAAAACTTTACCGTTCTAATACAGCTCTAAGTATACAAAGCTCACCACTTCAGGGCAGTACAAAGCTTCTATATTTGTTCATCATGATTCCATTTTAGTCTATTTATTAGAATTATCACACAGTGAAACAGTAGCATTTACTGGATAACGTTTCGGACATAATTTATTGTCCATATTCATATCAGGTGGACAATATGTCCGAAACGTTATCCAGTAAATGCTACTGTTTCACTGTGTGATATTTCTAATAAACAGACTAAAATGGAATTACACTCGACCACAATGCCCAAGTTTTACACTTATATTGTTCATCATACCTTTCACTTGAATTACTGAAGTGATAATTACTCACGTTTTTCTCTGTTTACACACCTGCTTTAGAAATGTCTTATATGTGTATATGTATGTTTTTTTTCCCTACAATTGTTGTCAGTTGTTCTCGCTTAAATATCTGCATACTAACTATGATTGACTTTATTCCTGTATCAGTCATGTGATCGCAGCCTGTATGTATTATTTATTCATCAAAGGCATACAGTAATATGGCGGTTATCTGAAAATGTATTACAATGAATATTGTGGTATTGATGTAGATATAGTAATGATGGGCAGTGGCTAGTAGTGGAATCCAGGGTGCGCATTTCGTCCTATTTGTTACTCGTCAGCTGGATATACCTGCCTCCCAGTGATTGATGTTGTTCCCATCGGGATTCGGACTCGAGAGCGACTGCTTCAAACGCGAGAGCGTTATTCACTACACCACCGAGCCACGATAGCCACTTCGTATGCGACGGGTATAGTTTTAGTGTTATTGCTTGTATTACACCGTCGTTGATTGAACCGAATTGGTCAGTCTCTGTTGGCATATGGGTTCCTGTGCGGATGCCTCGATATTGCCTGTGTTTCAATTATGTATAGTAATGATGTAGATACTTTTGAAAAAAACAAATACAGTATGACCGTTGTCTCATCATCATTGTTAAGATCAACATAGGGTCAGGCAATACTGCATAACGGTCCAAGTTTTCATATCTTACATCAACACACCAAGCAACAAGGCAATAAAATAGAAGATAGCGAAGGAAAGAAGGGTCGGTCAAAAGAATTAGAAAGTAGTAAAAAAGAGGAGGGGGAATGAGAAAATGATGAGATTCGGTATAGCGATTAAGATAAGGTTAGTTTGTGTATACATCTGCACCACTGGTTTCGATTCTGAGCCATATCATCTAGAGTCTTCAACTACTAGTTTCTTTAGTCCTGTGGACCCCAACGGGCAAATCTGCATACCGTATATAGTTCGAGCGATCAGTCAAAGACTTCATGCATTTATGTCATGTTTTAGTCTGGCTCCCTCAAATCTTTTTCCAGCCTGAACCTACTTCAGTCAACATTTTGCGGTGAGGCGGACGGTGGCTAGACATATGTAACACATGTCACAGCCATCTCAGTCGATGAAGGTTCACAACCGCACCAACTGACCTAGCTCTCCTCCCTAAAACTCTACTCCTGATTTCTGCGTTACTCGTGTGGTGATACCACGAAACATGGCCTATGCTACGAAGGTAGCGGTGATCAAACACCTGAAGCGTTATCATTTCGTCCACCTTTAATGGCTGTGTTTCACAGCCGTAGAGAAATTCAGCACAGTAAACTCGACCTTTATTAGACAATTGAATATCGGGACGGCGTCACAGATGGCATAAGTTGACAAAAGCCAAGCGAGCCTTTTGTATCCGTTCAGAGATTTCGTCGGTCACTGACCCACCAGGACTGATCCGACTTCCCGAGCAAGTGGTGTTCAATGCGCTCAACCACTTCTCTCTCTGTTGTTAGCTGGGGCGTAGTTAAAAATCAGTCCTGGAGCAATAGTTTGCATTTTGGTGGTGAGAAACGCATCTTAAACATTCTCAAATTGCCACTCAAGGTGTCTAGAAGAATCTGCATCTTGTCTGCGTCTTCACCTAACAAGACTATATCATCTGCGTATTCTAGGTCTACCGAAAATTCTGATGTGATTAGGTTAATCCCTCTGTAGTCAAATGTCAAGGGGTTGACCTCCGTAAGAATATCTGTAGTAAAAGTGAATGAGAATGGAGAGAGTGGGGACACTTGACGGACACCACATGACGTACATATCTCACCATAGGTCCTAAGACGCTCACAGGTGTACAAGTTAAGAGTCTTCGACGAGGTGATGTATATACTCTGTACCCCTTTCAGTGAGAGATATTGCTGTTGTGCACAGGAACTATAAAGGTCTTTAGTACCAAGTAAAACTGCTCCCATCATTCAGATAAATTTCCCACCCATGACTTTTTATTTTGTACTACCGAAATTGTAACCATTATGTTTACTTTACCTCCGACAACAAAAACTTCTCTTCGATAATGTTTCATGTGTAATCAGCATTACTGTAGGTGTTTGAATTTAAGGTAACCTTGACTATATTTTCTATGCTAATATCAAAAATACCATGTAGGCGTCTTAACACATTATAAGTTGCATAACGTTGAGACTAATTACATCAAAGCAGTTTCTACAGTAATTGAGTGACTAACTTACTGTCTGAGAGGACACTGTTTCAGAAGAGTTAAATATTCCCGATGTGATTCAAATGTTTCATGTTCATCTAGACAATCAGTGTACCGATCATCTAACCAATCC